ACACTGCAAAGCCCAAACACTGCAAGACAAGTAGTAGAGTTCTATAATAAACTGAGTATTAGAGTGCCAATCTTTCCAAGTAAGCAAGACATTTACACAATTGAGCTATATTAGAGATCTCAGAATCATGCACACGGAATACAGAAACCAAAAGCCTTTGGTGATCTCACAATTTCAGCAATCACCTCTCAGAACCAACTAAGAACATAAAGTTTTTTATCTGTGTGTATGAAAACTCAGGCTGTGCGCTACGGCCACAGGTGATGACTTTGTCTCCATAACATCTGCAGACATTTGTTATACTTGTCTGCTACACCCACAGAATAGAGTGGTGGAAGTATCATAAACATCCTACAATACACGAGTATCACTACAGCACAACATGACAGTGCCAAGTAGGAGGTGTGCTGTGTACGGCACTCCTGAAATATCAGTGCCTATCAGAGCCTGTCCCCACTCCAGGAACCAACCCAGGCTTGTCGCAGAACAAGTGATGACGGTTGCTTAGGAAAGGAGGGGAGATACATACAGAAGAGGGAGGGAGGGAGTAAAATAACAGTAAGGATGTCTGAAAAGGTCACAAAGAATCATACTATTATCAACTTACCTAAACATATACATACATAGGTTAAATAAAAATTTCGCATCTGGGCTGACAATGAACACTCCTATCCCACAAGAACCCTAGACTATCTCTAACAAAGTCCCAGCACTAGCCATGAGAAGCCCTCTTTTGTTCAAAAGACCCCCAAAACATTGTAGGCTATTACTGCTGCCCTGCCCAGAGGTAGAAGGGAAATCTCTAATGGTGAAGCCACCATGTACTTTGGACATAGGACACAGAAGACCCAAGTTGAATCTGACCTGAAAGCTTTCTCCTTGGGACTAGCTTTTATGTCAGAAGACATCATGCAAGCTTCCAAAGGAGGGTAGCAACCAATGGTCCTACACAGCTGTGAGGCCTATGAACCACACCAATGACAGGCATAGTAAGATGTTCCTAAAGGTACTTAGTGGCACTTATTTCTTGGAAGTACCAATAGTGGTCTAAATTGGACTTAAGCTCCACTTTAGAAGAGAAATCATATCTTGTACTAGAAACCTAACCAGCGACCTAGGGCTAAAGTGTAGGACTAAAAGTGTAAAATCATTGGTTATAGAGGAGAACCTTCTTTCCTAAATATGCCTAATATTTATTCTTTCCTTTTTTTGTTTTTGTTTTTCAACAGGGTTTCTCTGTGTAGCCTTGGCTGTCCTGGACTCACTTTTTAGACCAGGCTGGCTTTGAACTCACAGCGATCCGTCTGCCTCTGCCTCCCCAAGTAATGCGATTATAAACGTGTACCACAGCACCCAGCTAAATATTTATTCTTCTATCCCCCAGAGAAACTTCTCTTTGTAACAATATGGAGACCATTACAAAAACCACAACTGGTCAAAATGCAGTTATGGAGCCCAATCCCAGCTGATACTTTAATAACAGAACTCCTATACTTAAGCTAAAGGTTCACTGTGGAAGTCTGCAATGAGATTATGTCTCCCAGAAATGTCAGACAAGCTGCACCCATGAAGCCTCACCAACATGACTGCCTAAACCATACCTGAACAAGAATGATAACAATAAATATGCTAACATGCACATGAGAAAGCTCATAAGACCTCAACCCTAAGCAAAGAAGTATAGGCAACTTCTTCATCCAACTATTATTCAACAGGAATAATGAGAGGGGAGAAATAGTCTTCCCCAAGGAAGAGCACACCAACTGGTTTTTCAATACCAAATGGTTAGCCCCAAAAACATACATATAAGTAACAACTGTATGGACTGAGCAGGTTGTATTTATATATTTAGAATACATACATACACATGCACACTCATACACACACACAATTAAAGAAAAATAGACGATGAATTGGAAAAAGAGCAAGAGAACATACATGGGAGGGGTTGGAAGGAGGAAAGGGTGGGAGAAAATAGTGTAATTATATTATAATCTAAAAAAAACTGTAAAACTGAAAAATGTTAATGTTAGAGCTGGGGCTGAAATGTAGTGGTGGAGAGCCTGCTAGGGACTTGCATGCATGAGGCCAGCAAGGTTTGATTGCCAGCATCATAAAAATATATATATACAAAATTTTAAAAGCTAAGCATGATCACATATTTGTAATATCAACATTTGAGAGGCTGAGGCAGGAGGATTCCAAGTTTAAGGTTAGCCTGGCCTATTTAGTGAGTTTGAGGCCATTTTGGACTATTTAGTAAAACCTTGTCTTAAAAAAAAAAGTCAGGTTGACAGGGCAATCATTACCAAATACTATCTAAATGCACAACCAGAATTAGGAGGCAGGTTATGCAATCATAATTTGTGAGTCCTCCTCCTCCTCCTCCTCCTCCTCCCCCTCCCGCTCCCCCTCCTCCTCCTCAGAGAACTAAGGGTGGCTATGAGCATGTAAGGAAAGAGGCTGGGACTTCCAGGTAGAGAGATGGGACAAACATGCGCTACCTGGGGCAGATTCTCAAAGCCATGTATGTCAACCACAACAAAGCAGATCAAATGTTTAACAAGCCACCAAGACAGTTGCTGTGTGAGGCTGTCTATAGAAGGACAGGAGCTCCACTCCCTAGCTGGAATGTTTTACTACCACATGGGTTTACATTTTGAAATTCGAAGAACTTCAAAAAGATGAAAAGGAACTAGGAAAATGTTTGCTGCCACGTGAGGCTGGAAAACGGGCTTGGGAAGCAAGAGAAGCTGTAGACTGCTAACCTGTGGTCTCCAAGGTGTTGCTGTCCCTACTGAATGGCTCCAGTAGCTGAAAGGCACAAACCCATTTAAGCAATGCACCACCGAAGTTTGAAACCTTTTCGGACAGACATGCAAGGTGCCTTGCTAGCAAGCTCATGAGAATTCACATGTCCTACTGTGAGAAAAAGCCACGTGAGCCTGAATGCTCGGCAACAGGCTCTCCCACCCTCTAGCTGACTGCCTGCTTCATGGCACACCAACTGGAAATTCAAGCAGCTTACATTCATAACCAAGCAAAATGACAAAACACATGGATTGTAGGCCTTTGAGGTCACCTGCAGAGAGAACCAATCATCGAATGTGCAAATCCAGCCTTTAAGACCTGACACTCTACCTGTTTGAGGAGGCTGAGACAGGAAGACTGATAGCACAGATGATGCGATTAGTGGGCAGAGAGCTGCCCTGCTTCAGACAAGGTGCCGGCCAAGCCAGAGTCCGAGACTCCCAGCATCCACCCAACATAAACATCACCCAGCGGGGGGGGATGGAGATATAACACAGCAGTTAAGAGCACTGGCTGCTCTTCCAGAAGACCTTGGTTCAACTCCAAGCACCCATATGATGGCTCACAACCATCTGTAACTCCAGTTCTAGGGGATCCAACAGCTCCTTCTGGAGTCCACAGGTACCAAGCACACATACATACACATAGATATATGTCCAGGCCAAACACTCATACACATAAAAATAAATTTAAAAAAAATAGTGAGTGCCACCAACTTTTAAGGGATTATTTAATGTCAGCTAGGCATGGCAGTGTACACTTATAACGCTGCACTCAGAAACTGACGCATCAAGATTACCTCAAGTTTAAGCCCAGCTTGTCTCAAATTAAAAAAAAAATAGAACAAAAAACAAAATGAAGAAGTCCATATAGGACTTACCTCATACAGATTTTAGCAAAAGGCTAGTAGTACAGGGTTGCCAAGATGACTCAGTAGACAAAGCACTTGCCACACAGTATGTGGACTGGATTTCAGATCCTCAGCACCCACGTAAATTCTGGGCAGGCATGGCATCTTCCTGTAATCTCAGCACTCGAGAGGCAGAGACAGGGGATCACTGGTATAAGATGGCTAGCTAAGCTAGCTAGAATTAGTGAGCTCCCGGTTTAACAACAACAACAAAACAAACAAACAAACAAAACCTATCATGATAAATAAAGTGGAGAGTGACCAAAAACACCCATTGTCAACTCAGGCTTCTACACACAAGTGCACACACACGCCCTTACACATGCAACTGTATAAACACATGAACATGCATTCATGCAAAAAAGGACAATTTTCCTTATGTTAACAACAGAAAATAATCCTGCAAGTTAGTAAGATAGAACAGAGGTGAAAGGCCACTCTTTAACCACCTCGCCAATGTCAGGAAAAAGAGTGTCCATGCCCACTGGTGCTACCCACTACTATTCTAAGAATCACTGCTCTCTGGTTTATCTCTCATAAAACTTTTGAAGGTTTGGAGTGTTACTTTAATAGATTGATTGATTGACTGATTGATTGATTGATTGATTGATTGATTGATTGATTGATTGAAACAGAGTCTTGCTAGGTAGGGCAGGCTGGCCTTAAATTCTTAATCCTCCTGCCCCAAGGCCTCCTAAATGTTGAGATTGCAGGCTTATAGACCATGCCTGGGTCCTTTATAGTCTTGCTATGAAATTCTTTTGTCATTTCTTCAGTGGTAGGTTCCATTTATTAGCTTCTAGGAAAATAATTACTGAAAAAACCAAGATTTTAGAATCATTTAAATGGAGTTTAGTTTAAGCTCAGTTTACAACTTCTGCTTTAGCCAGATATGAGTAAAACAACAATGAGTGCAAATGACAAGGAGTTAAATATACTGTCTGGGGCTTTTATTCTTTTAATTCTGTTGTGTATAAAAATAAATGGCAACCAACCAACCAAACCTGTGTTTCCTTTAGATCAGCTATTTCTAATAAGTGATAATGACCACAAGCCCTTGGATGTTTTTCTATCCTAAACACACCTGACACCTATCCCAGCTTACTGAAATAGAATCCAGGGTGGACACGGTCCTCTAGTCACTGACATACACACACCACACACACCACACACATACACACACAGACAGAGACAGAGGCAGAGAAAGAAACAGACAGACAGAGCCCTAACTGTAATTACCAACCCTGATGTATGGCACTGTGTCTGAAAAGTTACCTACTTGTTACAATTCCAGCCAGGGCAAATACAAACTGATTTTCATCAGAATCAACCTCCTTGACATCCCCATCCAATGACTTCACAAAACTCTCCATTGTCTGACCAGTGATGTTGAAAAACTTCAATGCTTTGTCCTGAAAGTTTAAAAATAAAAAAACAGAAATATCATATCTTTCCTCAGAACCCAGTATAACAACATCACAAATGTGCAAGCCATATAAAAGAAAGACAGGGTGCAACTACAGAAGTAATCATAAGAAACCTCTACCAGCACTCAAAGTTCCCAGGGAGAAAAGCAGTCAATCCTGAGCCGCACACCTGGCCACAGTGGTGAGAACAAGTTACTTTTTAGTTTTCAGTCCTAAGTGAGACATCTGTGTCAACCCCACACACCAAGGCTTGGAGAACATCACAGAAGACTGGGTTGGAGGATAAAAAGGATTGCTGTGACAAAGTAAATAACCTGTAATTAATATAAAAAATAAAAATACTTTTAAAAAGGAGTGCTGTGAAGTGCCGTCCTCTGGACATGATGTGACCATTGCACTAATGAGCGCATAGCTGCTGTGTACCCCCACACGACCTGCACAACCCAAGCCAGTCCACATTCTAGCAGTGAGGAGAGATGGGCTATGAGGACGGCTGCTGGGGATCACTGCTCGTCAGGACTGTGGGCACTGCTAGCTCCACGCTCTAGTGGATGGCCCCACATACGTGTATAAGCAGGCAGCACTAACCAGACTTGGTGACATATAAATGAAAAAGGAAGTGAAGGCAGGAAGTAGGAGGGGGACCTGGGTTCTCTGACTGGGATGTACTGTGCACATGTGTGTGCATGTGTGTACGTGTACATAGAACTGTCAAGAGCCATTTACAAGCAAAGCACATTTTAGAAGGTAAGAACAGCCTAAAGGAACTTCCTGAGTGACAGAATAGTCTAAGACTGGACTATAGGGATTGTCTCCCGACTCTAGAAATGTTCTAAGAAACCAGTTAACTGTGAGAGTCCAGTGAGTAAATAACAACATGCAAATCATCTTTATTTCTAAGACAAAGTCTCATGCAGCCCTGAAAATTTCACTCTAATAAAGCTCAACAAACTTTACAGGACACTTGCGACCTCCCTCAAGCAAACACTGTGTCCCTAAGTGGTAACTAATGTGTCTCTGGCTTCCTGCCAAACATTCCCCCTCCACTTCCATTCCTTCTCCCGGAGTCAAACTCAACCTGCTACAGGTGCTTTCCTCCCTCAGCTGTCAACTGTGCCCTGATACCACATCTGTCTCCAGTACACAGCTCTCACATGCTTCCTTCTTCCCCCTGCAGAGAGCTGCATACCTCACACCCTAACCCTCAGTCACTCATCATCATGTTCATTTTCCTATCATGCCTTGACTCAAAGCACTCGAAGGTTCTACAGCGCTCCTACCCTCAAGGCAAAACCAGCATCTGCTTCCCTCCAGTCACAAAGTGACATTCCAATACCCGATGAGCCTTACCTCCCACTGGTTCCGTACATGAACCTCCACTTGGTCAAGTGACCTTCCCTCTATCCAAAGCAAGACAGATGTCTCATCCTATACCTTTAATTTCTGTGAGTCTGTCTTTTGAACTGTCCTTACCATTTTCTGCCATTCCCACCTATTCATCAAGGCCCACCGAATTCCTTACAGGAAATTCCCTAACATTTATATATACACACACACACACACACACACACAATACATCAGGTGCATGTATATGTCAAATAATGTAACATTTTTAATTACTGTATTACCCGTGAAGTAAAACATAGACCAGCACTGTGAATGCTATTGATTTTTATGTATAAACATTGAAGTGGTTAATATACAGAAACTCCCCTTGGGTGCTGGGACAGACGATGATACTTATTTTACATATCCCCAGAGCACCAGGTAACACAGTGAACAGCAGCCAATGTCATAGCACACATGATGTCTCTTCCAGTCACAAGGCACATTCAACAGTGCCAGACAACTTACTCCTCTAAGAATGGCTTTGACAACCTCCTCACTGCTGGTTACTCCCCAGAGGACAGTACAGGTGACTGCTCCCATTTGTGTACAGTATTCTGCCTGCTGGAGGAGCTGCTGCTTTGCCTCATTCAGCTGCTGTCGAAGAGCCAACTTCTCCTAAACTCACCACAAAATAGAACAAGAAAACAGAAAATAGCATTCAATCTCAAATCACATGTTGTTTTTTTTCCACATGTTGTTTTTTCATAATGATATTTATTGGAGAGAAACATTCGGACTTCTAGAAACAGCTACAAGTAGAATCTAACCCTTACTGAGCCACAATACACATCTAAACAGTTACGTTTCAAGCCTAGAGAAGAACACATGGCTGCTTTACAGCTTATGGACACCTGCAAAGAGCTAAACTCAACTGTTCAAGTAAAGAGAAAACTAGAGGTGGCTTGGGTCCCAAGTGACCACACCCATAGCACTACCTCTAGCCTCTGGAGCAAAGTAGCACCCCTACATGCTGTTTTCATGGCACAGCATTCCTAATCAGGGAGCTTGTTATGGCCAAAGATTCACTCCACTGGCAGACACCACATTGAGTTTAGAAAAGAAAGTGCAGGAAGTCTCCTTTAGGCCAGTGGTTCTCAACCTGTGGGGCACAACCCGTTTGGGTATTAAATGACTCTTTCACAGAAAACAAAGATTTTACATTATGATTCATAACAGTAGCAAAGTTGCAGTTATGAAGTAGCACCAAAATAATTTTGTGGCTGGGGTCACTACAACGTGAGGGACTGTACTAAAGAGCTACAACATTAGGAAGGTTGAGAACCACTGTGCTAGGAAACATGGGGAAGTCTTCATGAGACTGTCATAGAAGGTGCTGGAAAGTATGAAACACGTGTGGCTATGAAATGACACCAGAATCAAACACCAGACCAAAAATCAGGTAGGAAGGTCAGAGGGGGGTGCCCCAAACATGTTCAGCCTCAGTGCAAGACCACAGAGGACAGGGAGGGTTTCCTGCCCTCCCTCCAGCAGCACCTGAAAACACCTGAATCTGGGCCAGACTCTGACAGGATCATTAAGGGAAGAAGAGAACCACTCTCCTGATGAGCCTCATATCCCAAGGATTTCTCTTCAGGTGACTGATGCAAGTTTCTCATCCTCCCCAGTGACCAAGCTTCTCTGCTGCTAAACTCCCTTTAAGGAGACAGCATTTCCTGAGAGATGAACTGGGATGGAGATATCCCTCGGCTGTAGAGCACTTGCCTATCACACATAAGGCCCTGGATTCCCAGCACTACCAAAAAGGGAACAATAAACTGAAAAAATAAAAACCTAGGTAAATTCATTTATATCAAACAATTTATTCACCACAATTTAAATTATACTAGCTTTTTTTTTTCTTTTAAAGAAGTCAATATTCAAATAATGATAAGAAAGAGGCTTTTTGTCTGGGGTTTCAAGAGACTCAGGGGTAGGGCTAGAGAAATGGCTCAGTGATTAAGAGCACTGACAGCTCTGACAGAGAATGCAGATTCAATTCCCAGCACATACACTGTGGCTACCGATGCCTGTAGGTTCCATGGGTTCCAACACCCTATTCTGGCCTCCGTAAGTACCAGGCTTGCATATGAATACACATAAATACACGCAAGAAAAATAACCATGCCCATATAATAAAAAATAAATATTTAAAAAATCAAAATACAAAACTATATGTTTTTCATGTCTGACTTAATGACACTGCAGCCTGCATTACTAGGCCGCCCTTCACACGCACATAACTGAACTGGCAAAATAATGGATTTCATCATGACATATTTATATGCACCATCACATTTTGTTCTCACTTCTTCCCTCCATCACATCCACAGTCAATAGCAGAGATAAATAAATATACCCATACTTAGGTGTTTTCAGCTAACTTTCTGCACTCATACATGGTTCAGGTACCATGAAATGGTGCTACCTACATTCAGAGTGGGTCTTCCATCCCATCTAGATTAAGGCGCTCAAGACAATTCCCCACAGATGTGAACGGATGTAGACAACTGCTACTCTCTTCCCACGCAGGTTGTGTCACATACAACAGCATACTGGCAAATGGCCACACTTTTTAAGTTTACTGAAAGCATACTGGGAAAGGGCAAGCCCTCCCTTGTTTATGTCAAATGTTCTCCAAAATTTGCCCTGTCCTGGGTCAGCCCTCTCTCCCTAGCTCTGTAACAGAGAGAAGGAAAAACAGCAAGTAGCTAAGGGGATAAAAACATTGTGTCCTTAAGAACAGCTAGAAGGGGAGCCTGTCCAACAGAGGTTATTATTGTTGATCCATGGTGTAACGCGCCTTCGGTGGAAACTAAATAGAGAGCCTCCCAACCAGTAGCTCCAGTATCTGCTCCCCCCACCCCAGTCCATTTCTTCTGGGTGTTGCAAGCTTCCACTAAATGATTACCTTTGTTTGCTCACAATCAGGCTACATCAGTCACGTTTGACGATGTTTTTTGTTACTTGCTATTTGTTCTTTTACTTTTGCTTGCTACATACTTAAACTCATTTATCTAAAACTGCAAGTACAGAACTTTTAAAATATATCACAACAAAATCCTGTTCCATTTTCTAAAAACTAATAAGGTAAATTTCAACCTTCAAACATCAAACAGGCATAGTGGTACACACATAATCCCAGCACTCAGGAGTCAAAAACCAGAACTGACAGAATACATAGTGATATTCTGTCAAATGGTGGGGGCGGGAAGCCAAAGGGTAAGAAAAACTATATCCAATACATAAAAGGCCCACCACACATACCTTCAGATATGTGTGAATATCACATACTCACCGATCAGATTCACTGATTCAGGTGCTGCTGATCATACATCAGATTCACTGATTCAGTCAATAGAGGTCTGAAGCTTCCACACCTGACTTTTCTGTAGGTGCCACCACATGAACTCAGTACCTCATGCTCACACAGCAAGCACTTTACCAAATAAGCCATCTCCCCAGTCCAAGTATAGTAACAATTTATACAGCACTTGCATTGAATTAGATAGCATAAACAATCTTATTTATTAATTAAGGTATGTGTAAGCAATACACTTATTCATAGAAAGGTCCTGAACACCCTAGGACTATCCACAAGGGGTCCTGGAGCTTATTCCTCTCAGATGCTGAGGGACAACTGTATCTAAAATAGAGGACAAATCTAACAGGGAAGAAGAGTTGGGTTCTAGTCTGTCTTAGCTGTGACCCTACAAGCTACAGCAGTGACTGGCCTAGCAAGACAGACCCCCTGCGGCAACAGTGGAGCAAATGCTATGGAGGTAACCAACCACTTTCTTATTAGATTTAAATCTCACTCCACAAGATGAAATCTTTTTCCTGATACTGACTGTTAAATGGGTCCAAAGCCCATATCTGTCTAAGTCCTTGGCCCTAGGGAAGAACAGTACGACTATTCTGCAGTATTCTATAGTAACACCTGCCCCTAAGTTCTTATCTTTCTACCTACCTAAAGATTAGTGCCAGCCCTCATCAGAGAAGCTGCCTTTTAGAGAAGATGACAACTAATACAGAGACCTACAGCTGGTCAACATGCAAAATCCTGCAGAGTGCTCAGCTCTAAATAGAACATGCATACTACACACACACACACACACACACACACACACACACACACAGACACACACACACACACACATACAGAGAGAGAGAGAGAGAGAGAGAGAGAGAGAGAGAGAGGAGGGAGGTGCTCAGGGACCATTGTGGAAGAGAGGGAAGAAAATTTGTAAGAGCCTGAAGGAGTAGAGTTTGTATAAAAACTGTATCTGCTGGACATGACAGTGCAGCTGAACACATGAATTCATGGTATTCATGAACATGTGCAAATCAGCCAGGATAGAGACTGTGAATACCTTTCATTCCAGCACTTGGGAGGCTGAGGAAGATCAAAGTTCAATGCCAGTCTAAGCTACATAGAGTTGAAGGGAGCTCAGGTTCCATTGTAAGACCCCATCTCAAAAAAAAAAAAAAAGAAAAGAAAAGAAAAGAAAAGAAAAAAAAAGAGGAACAGCAGCTGCAGTTGCCTTTCAATAAATGCCTGTATTGAATAATCAGGGTCTCAAACGCTTTAAGTATTATCAATAGTCCTAGTAGTCTGGCCTTAGTGGAAATGAGGAACTATTTTAGCTTTGACTATTTTTCTATTTCTAGTCAAGTTTCCTGTTGAACAGTTCACTGGTTGAACCGGGATAAGCAAGCTGGCTATAATAAGGCCACTTGTCTCCGGCAGCTGTCTTTTCTGTAGCACTGTCTGTGGTCTGCCCAGGCCTGTACAGATCATGAGGCAGGACTGGAGGCTTATTTTAGAGCTGAGGAACCAGGAAAGAATCCAGCAACTAGAAGACTGAATTAGATTACTGCCAATAAGTGCTTCAGTAAGGGTAAAAGTCATTATGAAAAGACAGAAATGACTGAATCCAGTATGTAAGAACAGCATGGAATCAAAACCATGAGAGTGCTGTGCAAGCAGCAATTCCTGCCTCCCTTTGGGGGCGGGCTCTTATGCAAGGGCTTTTCTGTGAATGTAGTAGTAACGTAATGTAACGAAGTCGTTTCCTTCCCTTCACTGAAGCAACTAGGTTGGATCATGGGAAGAGGACAGTGGAGACTGGATGCCTACCTACTCTTGGAGTGCAGAGGCTGCCCAGGTTAGGAGTCTTGGCAATGGCAAAAGGCCTTGGCACTGTGGTACAGGCATAGCTGTTGGGGATACAGAACACCTGGAAAGGACTTATAGCTGTTTGTTTGGGTGTTTGTTTTTAAAACAAGTCTTATGTAGTCCAGGCAGATCTGCAACTCACTATGTAACAGAGGATGATCTTGAACTTCTGACCTTCCTGCCTCTAACTTCCAAGTGCTAGGTGTATACTACCATGCCCACTCTATGCAGTACTAGAGATAAATCCATGGCCTCATTCATGCTAGGCACTGTACTAACAAGGTAAAGCTCCTACCACACTTTAGTTTGATATCCCTGTACACAATGTGTCTGTGCCACAAGCCTTTTCAGTAATGAACTGGTATGCTGTTAGTCGTTCATCACTGACAAATGCCTGACAGGACAATGTAAAAGGATGAAATATTTCTTTTCCATCATGGTTTCAAGGTTTCGGTCCATTCCACAGCTGTAGTTCAGAGCAGAGCAAAGTTGCTCACCTCATGGATACCAGCAAGCAAAAAGAGAACAATCCTGTGCTTTTTCCTTCTTGCCCTTTTATTCCATCTGGGTTCGCAACTATTGTATGACACAAGTAGCATTCAGAGTAGCTGCTCCCTACTTAATCACCCATGGAAATACTTTCACAAGCACAGCAGAAGTGTACCCTAAAAATGTCCTCAGTATTTCCCTGTCCAAGTTGACAATCAGTATGAACTGTCACAAGTCCACCCTCTGCCAACTTGACACCCAAACACATCTTAAACCACATCTCCTAAAACCATCCCTAATTTCCAAAAATAACAAGGCCATAATTAATAAGACATGAAAAAAATCATCCTATGTGTACCCCAAAATATTTTAGTTCATTTCCCCAGTGTCTCAATAGTTCCAAAATTGCTCAATAGAACAAGAACAAAATTTCCCGAGACTCAATGCAAGCTCTCACCTGTGAGCCCCTGTAAGACCAAAAAGAAAGTTTTGCATTTCCCAAGTATAAGGCAGAGTAAAGACTTCCATTCCAAAAGGGGCACAAGGAGAGGTAAGAAGAAACCAAAGCAAGATGGAACTCAGCAGGGCAAATGTAAGCTCCCGTAGTTCTATGGCTGGTATTCCAGACATTCAGTGGTGTTATCTAGGTGCCAAAAATGGTATAATCTGGATGCCCAAAGGCTGGGTTAGCCCGGTCCCCACAGTAGGCTACTGCAGCCACATGGCTCTTCCACACTGACCCTGCTCACTATCTAGAGCTCTCCTTGGCAGACAGTCTACATTCCAGCATCTTTAGCTTCCTCAGGTCTCGACTCCATCGCAACTTCATTTGCTGCTCTCCCAAGGTCTACCTCCAAGTACTCTTACCTCTGTCAAACATCACCTGGCCTCCTCAACACTCCTTTGAAATCTGAGTAGAAGCCTCTATGACCTGTCTTGCAAAACCAGCATCAGATGGAAGACAGCAAGGTCTGCCACTAGCTTAGGCTATAACCGGGTCCCAGTGTAGACAAATTCATTGAATGTTCTTTAGTCCAGTTCCCATCTCAACTCTCCTGAGCATAAACTTTGTATCTTTGTATCTATAGTCATTTTGATCTTCTGAGTTCCTCCACCAGGATCATCCAGAAGTTCTGCTTACAGTATTTTAAGCTGTGCTGGCCTGTGACTATCTCAGTAACTGAGCAAGGCTGGTAGAATCCAGGTAGGGCATGATTATATTACAACTGAATAGATCAGTTCTTGCCTAACATGCACAAGGACCAAGGTTTGATCTCTAGCACGCACACATGTGTACACACACACACACACACATACACACATATGCACACACACACACAAAGAAAAGGAAACTCAAGGGACAATTTCATAGGTCATCTTGAAAAAGGGTACCTCTGAAGGTCTGTCTTTTAATTCATCTTTTCAGTGGACTTAAACTTTAACACTTTTTTTTTTAAATAGGCTCTCTCTACATAGCTCTGACTGTCCTGGAACTCACTCTGTAGACCAGACTGATCTCAAACTCGAAGAGATCCTCCTGTCTCTGCATCCTAAGTGCTGGGATTAACACCAGGTTATACTCTTGCCTGTAGAATGAGTCAGCTCTCCCTCATCACTGAGCTGCCCTCAAGGTACCTTTTCTATTGTCTTGGTACATACAACAGTGCTAATCTCTAACAATTATTGATTTACTGGTCCCAACTTTAAATGTGATTTTTTTTGGCCAGTTTTAAAAATCTTTCTGTCCTGTTTTTTGCTGTAAATGTTCACTGTAAATCAGGCTAAAAGTGGGCAGCAAAACCCCTGTGAGAGCCTGAATGCTAGACAAAAATTTCCTTTTCCAAGGAATTGGTAAGATTGTAAGAACCTCAGGACCACAAAGTCCACTGTGAAACTGTGTCTTGTAAATATGCCAAGGAAGCTATACCACTGAAGTATCCACACTATCTCTGAGTATCCACACTATCTCTGCCTAAACAAGACCTGAACAAATTGCGACACCAATTGACATACTAATGTGAGTGAGGAAAGCTCACAGGGCCTACCCCTAAATGAAGAACTACAAGCATTTTACAACTACTGAGAGGAGAATTAGTCTTGCCCAGAAGAAATCCCTAATTGACTATCTATACCAAGTGGTCAGTCCTAGCCTCATATACATACAAGCAAACAAAAAACACTCAGAAAGTTACATTTAGATGTTTATTCATTTACATACATATGCATGTATATATGTATGTATGCATGCATAAACATGTGTTTGTATAACAAATGATAATTAAAGAAAAATAGGTCATGAATTTGAGAGGGAACAGGGCTTGGGGGAATGAGAAGAGTAAGAAAGAAAAAGAGGGGATGTAATTATGCATTATTTTAATTAAAACTAAAATTCTTCTTTCAGAGTACTCACCCAGTCACCTTTGACTCAGCCTCCCACAAAGTCTTGCAGCATAGACACAGATAGGCGAGATTGCTGCGATAATGCAACATGAATGCCACAGTCCAATTTCCAATGGAATCCTTGATCCCAGTCTCTATTCTGCATTTCTAGTTTGCTGACATCCCACCATAATCCTCAGTAAGCTCTACTCACAGTCTTTTAAGAGTTTTCTAGTTTATATGTCCAGTTTTCCAAATCCCTCCTACAAAATAGCTCCACAGGCTTACAAACCACATGGCCAGGTTTAGTCAAAGCAATGGCTCTGCTCCCAGCACCAACACTGTGTAAAGCAGAGCTTTCTATTGCTATGACAAATACCTAAGAGAAAAACAATCAAAAGGAAGAAAAATTCATTTGACTTACAATTTCACAGACTTCACATCCACGCATGGATGTCACTTGTGGATGTCTTAGAATTTACTATGTAGCCCAGGCTAGCCTTGAACTCACAGAGTCTGCCTGCTCCTGCTTTCCAAGGCTGTGTTTTAAATGTCTATCAACTCCTTCACCCCTACTGGTCAATTTCAAGGCCATAAATGTTTAATCTAAAACTAACCAGACTGCCTTGCAATTTATCGCCTGATCTTAATGGAATATAGCAAAACTACAACCTCAACTTTGTGTAGGTGACACAAAGCCTAATCCAGGTTTAAGAACATGTTCTTTCCTACCACGTTCTGCTTGCTCGGTATTAAAAGGTGAGCCAACTCTCCCAATTTCCAAAAACCTCTACTACAGCCACAAACATTTAGAATTCCCTAAGACGTCAGCTCGCAGTATGTCCCTGGACCAGACATTCAATCTCTTGTACAATAGCAATACCTGCTGATGTGCCTTTGATGGAAACACATGAGACACAAAGGGCAGTGTGCCTGCTCGCACACAGCAAACATCCAAAACACATTAGCTGCCATTGCTCAGCACTATTGTTGCTTTATTATTTTAAAATACGAAGATATGCAAGCCCCAAATTTTACAAATGGAAGCACAGAACTAGTTTTATCGGAGATGAAATAATGTATGCCATCCAACTGTAAAAATGCTTTCAAAAATATTATAGGGGCTAGAGAGGTGGCTTGGTAGTTAAAAGCACTTGCTGCTATTGCAGAGGACCTGGGTTCAGTTCCAGCACTCACATGGTAGCTTACTGTGGTCTGAAACTCCAGTTCCAGAGGATCTGATACTCTATTCTGGCCTCTGGGAAAACCAGGGCCCAAAACTGTGCCACAGACACACATGCAAGCAAAATACTTGTACACATAAAATAAAATAATTTAAAAAATAGTCTCCCCAATAGTAAAATAAAATATAATTAGTTATTTCCTAAGTTTCAATAAATTATACCCAAATTAATTAGAAATGTTTCTAACTTAATATATCTACCATCAATTACAAGTTGTCCTATACCCAGTATTTTATCCCAGATTCCTACTATGTTGTAAGCATATGCAATACGGCATATTTTTTTGTTTTGTTTTGTTTGAGACAGGATCTCCCTATGTTGCCCTAGCTGCCCTGGAACTCACTATGTAGACCAGAGTGGCCTCAAACTTACAGAGATCCACCTGTCTCTCCCTCCCAAGTGCTGAGATTGAAGGCTTTCACCATTATGCCCAGCTGAAGTAGCCTTTTAAACATAAATGTTAAAAAGGAAGCCAGTGAAATGCTCATCAGGTAAAGATACTTGCTGCCAAGCTAGAACCCACACAAGGAAAGAACCAACTTCTACAAGTTGTCCTCTGAACTCCATAGAGTGATGCATACACACACCTGCACAACACACCTAAACATACACACACTCTCTCATGCACACACACACACTCTAAATGTACAAAAAACATTTAATTAAAAGGAAGTGAATGATGTACATGTCAAATGGCTATAAACTCTACTAATAGCTCACCCACCTTACAACCTAGTCAAAGTACACATATTTGAAACTCCAAGTTCCTGAGGGTTAACAGAGAAAATGGGAGACCACCCGCTCCTTGGGAGCAAAAGGCAGCAAATCAGCAGCGCCTTCTGGACTGGCCACCTGGAGCTGCTTCACCCAGGAGCCTACCTTTTTCTCCCTTCCATTGTCTGCCTGCGCAATGTCTAGCCGGGCCTTGAAGTGTTCACAGTCCAATCTCAGCTGCTCTAATTCTTCTTCTTTCCTTTCCTGGTCTAGAAGAGACAGAAAAATACTCAAGAAATGTCAAATCAGACTCAACATTCTTACAGTCCTATTTCTAAGCTCTCTTCCATTTTTCAAGCCATACCAGTAATCTTTTTTGGCGGATGGCAGGAGGTAGATCTTAGGGAGTGAACCTTGGGCCCATGCACACTAAGCACACTGTAGAACTGAACTGCCTCCTGTTCTGAAAGAAATTCTCCTGTTATGTTACTTTGTGATTTTAAGGCCTCATTTACTGCCAGACGTGTACTCAAGGCCTCAAGAAAATGAGTTATTTAAAGTACTGAAGGCAGAGCTGAGAAGCCCGATTATCTCATGGCACAAACTTGTATCTGTGCCATAAAAAGCAGAAGGCATCTCAGGAGTGGCTGGTGCCAGCAGGAGCTGACTCACAAAGCAAGTCCCACCAACTGGCAGCCTGACTCAATGGGAACAACTGCAGTAGTAGTCAATGGAGGCGGGAAACAGCAGAGATCAAGACAAGAAAGTGCTGCATGAGGGGGTAGAGTCTACGTAACACTTCCTCTCCACCATAATCATTTAGCTGATGAGTCAAATGGCCAACAAAAACCCCAAGACACCCACATCAATAAATCAACGAAAAGCATTATTAACAACTTTAAATATGGTCGTACTGCAGATATACCGGCGTTTTAAAAAATTGTATACTTAATTCAAATTATTAAGCATTTGATCTCCAGGCTAAGAAATTGATCTCTTCTTTTTTTGCCAATATATACAAGATTTGAGAACAAATATGAATAGTTAGTGGCTGACTAAAGTCTAATATGCTAGGATCCCAGAAGACTTGAGCCTGGTGCATGGAGTTTGTGCTTCCATGGGTTTAGGTGGACCTCAAAACTTACATTTCTTTTCTGTAGGAATTTTTTTTCTAGTAACAATTTCTTGAACGTATGTAATACATTTTGCTCATTTCCACCCCCATTATCCACTCTCATGCCCTTCCTATTCCTGATGATCTTCTTATTGCCAAGAAGTCTCCTCCTCCTTTCATGTCTTTGTTGCTGCTGTTTTGTTTGGTTATTCTTGTGTGTATGACCTTCTGAGTTTAATTACTGTTCCATTAACATGGCGTATAGGCAATTTTACACCACTGAAGAAAATTATTCCCCTTCTATGTGCAACCAGTAACTGCCAAGAGGTCCTCAGAGATTTATGTATGATTTATATATGGGGGCTGGAAAGATGGCTCAGTGGCTAAGAATACTGACTGCTCTTACAGAGTTTTGTTTCCAGAACCCACATGGCAGCTTACAACTGCCTATAACTCTGACTCCCACTTCTGGCCTCCTCATCACCAGGCATGAATATGGTGCACATACATACATGCAAGCACTCACACATACACATAAAAGATAAATACATCTTTTTTAATGTTTTGCCTGCATATATGTTTGTATCTGTACCATGTTCATGCCTGATGTCAATGGGAGTCAGAAGAGGGTGTTGGATACCTGGAACTGGAGTTACCAACAGCTGTGGATTACCAGTGCTGGGAATCAAACCCTAGTCAAGAGCAGCAAGTACTCTTAACCACTAAGCCATCGCTTCAGCCCAAAGAAGTTACATTTCTAACAAGTTTTCTGGGCAAGGATTTATGGAAATCATAGATCAAAAACAACTACTTCAAGTCAACAGCCTCAGCTCTCAGTGCTAACAATAGAAAAGGAACACACAGTGGACAAGAGAGCTCAGCTACAGCAATGTGAGAGTATGAACGGAGGGTAATGGAACCTGAGGAAGGCAGAGTGCCTCTAAGTATAGAAGAACATACACCCTCCACCTTAGGAACAAAAGGTTTACTGGTGATGCTCAATGAAGTGCAGGCAAAGAAAGGGGCAGGGCTTTGTGCTCCAAAGGTCTGAGAAGGCAACAGGACACTTAACACAAATGCAAAACAAAACAAAACAAACAAACAAACAAACAAAAACCAGAGCTACTTGGTATCCCAAGTGTTATGGAGAAAGAAACAAGGAAAGTGTTTACATTTCCTTGAGACCCCGTCCAAGAAGGAAGATTAGAACCCAAAGGTCAACAGACAAGTTGGAGATTATGAAACTGGCTGGCAAGCTCCCTTTCACATTTCCTAGAAACATGCAAGCCACGCTGGGCTATTTATTCTCCCTACGTCAGAGCTGTCTTTTCAGGTATGTCGTACTATATGAGTTCTACTTTGTCTCACTAATCCTGATCATTAATTATTATTATTAAAAATAATATTGTTGAATATATGCAACTGTGTTGAATGTTACTTATACATACTTATACGTATACTATAATCATACATGAACTCTGAAATACATAACCAACCAGAAACTGAGTAATAAAATTATCAGTAGCTTAGGATTATTCTCTTTGCAGCTAACTCTTAAAGTCTACTTCTATTATTAAGCATTGTTACTCATACACAGCATTGTTACTCATACACAGTAGATTTGTATCTACAAATCTTGTCACGTAAAAACATATAGAAACTAGCTCTAACTACCCAACACCTTCATTATAACAAATTCCTCTCTGTGTAGCTTTATGTGAACTTACCGAAGGCTTTCATACCAAAGCAACAGGCTTAACAAGGCCCTTGTTACAATATGGATCCCAGAAAATTCCAGGCCACTGTTCAAGAGACTGTGCTCATGCCGACATGGCTGCATCAGCTGTGTCAGACCGCCGCCTTGTGGCCAGATGGGACCATTGCTGGCAACCTACCACCACCAGGGCAGGAGACTGTCATGTTTTGTTTTAGGCCGTACGAAAGTGTATGGAAGGTTGCAGGCACTGCCTAAATATTTTCACACTAGTATAACTTCTTTATACATTCTTCACCTTTCCACTTGGACAGAAAAAATACAGCTCTAGTTAAAACAGAAGATCTTTTCCTTTAGGAATAGACTTTTTTTTAATGAGGTTTTTTTTTTCTTCTTTTTTTAGATTTATTTATGCAATACCCTGCCTGACTGTATGTATACATGCCAGGAGAGGGTACTAGATCTCATTATAGATGGTTTTGAGCCACCGTGTGGGTGTTGGCAATTGAACTCAGGACCAGTTAGGAAGGGCAGGCAGTGCTCTTAACCACCAACCCATCTCTCCAGCCCCAAGAATAGACAGTTTTTAAGCCAGCTGGTGCATGCCTTTAATTCCAGCACTCAGGAGCTAGAGGCAGGCAGATCTCTGGGTTTGAAGCCAGGCTACACAGAAAACCCCTGTCTTGGGAAAACGAGAGAGAGAGAGAGAAGATAAAGATACTGCCTTTGGCCAGAAATGCTAGCACTAATCCTAGCACTCAGGAGGCGGTGCACAGATCTCTGTGAGTTCCAAGCCAGCCTGGTCTACATAGAAGCTCTAAAACAGTCATGAAAATACATAAAGACAAACAAAAATGTAGTGTTTTGCAAATGTTTTAAACCTAGAAACAGAAGTAACAGACAATGCAATGATTGCTACATAGAACTGAGATATCTTACACAAACTGTATGAAAACAGGGTGTCTGTCAGCCAGCCTAGCAGTTTCCCCTGCTTTTGGTATTGGAAACAGGAGACTCTCTAGCTACATAAACTGGATGGAGGGTGGCACACTAGACCGACCAGTAATACAAGAAAGCCATCTATGTCACAGACTATTTCAACAGCAATACTGTGAAATAACTATATAGCTCTGGCTTTGTTTAGGGGGGTTAAATTACAGAATCCAGATGCCTCGGTCTCCCCAGGGCTGGGGTTATAGGTATGCACCACCACACTAGCCTGATAGGTTTGAATTTAGGATCCTTTTTTGTGGTGGTGGTGGTGGTGGCAGTGGCGGCAGCTGACTTCTTGATAGCACTGGGGACTGAATCTAAGGTCTTGAGAATATTTGGTTAGTCCTCTATCGCTAAGATATGTCCCCAAGCCCTCTCCTTTCATTTTTGAGGCAAGGTTGCCCAGGGTAGATTTAAATTTACTCTGTAGTTCTGGAAAACTCAAAATCATTGTCCTCCTGCTACAGTTCTCCCCCAAGTAGCTGGCATGGCGTGTGACACCAGATGTAGTTCTGACAGTGTTAATGCCATGAGAATGACTATCTCCACATTCACCCTATTCAGAGAGAGAATAGAGCTGTCACTGAAAGGCAGGGCTTCTGAAACAGATCAAAAAGTTATGATTATATTGGGGTCTGGTTTCTCTTGCTCCATTGCATGACATGTTCATAACAAATCATCAGTTATTTTCCATTAATGTGAAATGCTTTTTACCAAAATAGCTGTCTGAAAACAAAAATACATTTTTAAATCACCAGTGACTTTTTCCTTCCTATCACTCTGGCAGGTTCAGAGAAATGAGTGCAATCCTGACATGCTCCATCTTTACTCTGAGCTGAGCCTGGATGGTGTACTCCCTTCCCAGCATGTGGAAAGTGTGCCTCACAAGCCTGCAGACTTCCAAACCCAAGTCCAGGTGTTAGAAGGCTAAACTCGATGTGAAACCTGACAGGTAAGATTGTTCCTTTTCTGTTTCTGCCCAACAGTCCCTGGATTGTGGAAACACTTTGGCAGACCCTACCTCCACCTCCACATGGCCTTATTCTTCACACCGTCTTCCTTTTCTGGCTTCCCTATATCTTCACACAGACCTCACCCTGTAAGTGCTCAAAATTCTTCTGACAAGAATGGTATACTGAACTAGAGCCCAACAGCCCTCATTTTGCCTCTGTGAAAACTTTTTCCCAGAGTCCCATTCTGAGGACCTGGGGACTAGGCTTGAAGGTGTCTTTTCAGGGAAGTACTTGACAGATACTTCTGCAACTTGCCACAGTTTCATCAGACTATCAGCCTCTTGTGAGGCATTCCTACTGACATGGTTTTCCAAAGCAAACAGCCATCTCCAGAACGATGCTGCATTCTACAAGGCTCCCAGAAATAAGCCATTGCAGTGGCTCAAGGGCTACAAAATTAAAGATGCAAATGCAGATCTGGACCACTATTCCAGA